GTTGCATCCAGAGACTGAACTTGGTTCAAGCTGATGCAGGAGAATTTTTTTTTGAACTGATCTGTAATAAGATGTGAGGGATTTCTTCTTTTTCAGCATGGAAAATACATGAGATTTTAAAAAAGTGGATGAAATAAAAAAATGAGTTCTCTACTTTGACTAGAAAATATTTTATCTGAGAAATTGATATGGCCTGTTGGTGGGACGTGCAGAATGCATGAGAGCATGTATATCTTAATTTTTTCATCAGATATGGATTACTGCCATTCATGTGAAGATGGAAATTACCCGAACAAACACCAGAATGCCTGTATTCCAAAGTATGTTAACTTCTTTTCATATGAAGAATCTCTGGGGATCATTTTGGCCAGTTTTGCTATCCTTTTCTGCTTGATCACAACTCTGGTGCTCGGAATGTTTATGAAGCATCATGAGACAGCCATTGTCAAGGCCAACAACCGGCACCTCACCTACTCTCTCCTCATCTCTCTTCTGTTTTGCTTCCTCTGCACACTGCTTTTCATTGGCCAACCACAGAGGGTGACATGCCTCCTCCGACAAGCTGCTTTTGGCATCATCTTCTCCGTGGCTGTTTCTTGCGTGTTGACCAAGACTGTCATGGTGGTTTTGGCCTTTAGAGCCACCAAACCTGGAAGCAAGATGAGGAAGTGGATGGGGAAGGGACTGGCCAACACTCTCCTTCTTTCCTGCTGCCTCATTCAGGCTGGGATCTGTATTGCCTGGCAGGCAACTGCTTCTCCTTTTCCACATATTGACATGCATACAGTGGCTGAGAAAATCATACCGGAGTGTAACGAGGGATCTATAGTGATGTTTTACTGTGTCCTGGGCTATCTGGGCTTCCTGGCCAGTCTCAGCTTCGTGGTGGCTTTTCTTGCTAGGAAGCTCCCGGACAGTTTCAATGAGGCCAAGTTCATCACGTTCAGTATGCTGGTCTTTTGCAGTGTCTGGATATCCTTTGTGCCTTCCTACCTGAGCACCAAAGGAAAGTACTTTGTGACTGTGGAGATCTTTTCTATCTTAGCCTCCAGTTCTGGACTGCTGTTTTGCATCTTCTTCCCCAAATGTTACATTATTTTGCTGAGACCCGAGTTGAACAAGAAGGAGCATCTAATAAGGGGAACAGCTTGAAAAATTGTTTTGGTTGGTGATTTTTGGCAATGGACAGATATTTTTTCTTAATGATTTTTGCCCATGTCTCTAAAGTTTTCCAGTGACTTCTTACTGTAGGGAAATCTTCACTGAAATATGCGTCCTGACTCTTTTTGACATGTCATGCAGGTGGACTGAAAAGACTCCCTCAGTTGCAAATCAACAGTTTCCCATTGAGGATGATCAATTGCTACTGCACTTCCAAGGCTTTGAACAAAGCTGCTTCCTTCAGAAAGCAAACAAAATGAAAGTATTTTAACCCCTTCAGCACCTCACATGCATTCATAGACTCCTGCAGCTAATTTGAGAGGTGAACAGTTCAAGGGTTCTAAGACTTAATTATATGCCAGTCTGCTCTCAAGGAGGACATTGGAGTCTTGTGGGCTCATTTCCAGAAAGGTTTCTTTATTCTGATCTCAGAGTGTGTGTCTGCACCATCCTTCATCCAACAGATCTTTGGTCACCTTTCAGCTGCAGTCTTATTTTGCAGCAGTCTTATTTTTGTTAAAATAAAATAAAATAAAAAACAGGGGTAGGGAATCCTCCTCAATCACTTTGTGAACAAAGGCATGGAG